GCTGTGATGCCAAAGCACTCTACCCAGGGGGACAGCTTGAGGCTCTGTCTCAAAAAAAAAAAAATTAAAATAAATAAATAAATAAAATAAAAATAAAAAAATAGAAAAAACTTGGGCGGTACCTGTGGCTCAGTGAGTAGGGCACTGGCCCCATGTACGGAGGGTGGCAGGTTAAAACTTGGCCCCAGCCAAACTGCAACAAAAAAATAGCCGGGCATTGTGGTAAGCACCTGTAGTCCCAGCTACTCGGGAGGCTGAGGCAAGAGAATCTCCTAAGCCCAAGAGCTGGAGGTTGCTGTGAGCTATGATGCCATAGTACTCTACCAAGGGTGACAAAGTAAGACTCTGTCTCTTAAAAAAAAAAAAAAAAGAAAAGAAAAGAAAAAAACATATAGCCAATGCAGTAGCTACAGAAAAAGTATTTCACAATAACAAAGTAAACTTCAGAGCTTTGACAGCAAATTCTACCAAAGGTTTCAGAATTAACAACAAATGTAAAAAACAAAAAAGCCACTGATAGGACAGTGTCTATGGCTTAGTGAATAGGGCGCCAGCCCCGGGCAAACTGCAACAACAACAAAAAATATAGCCAGGCATTGTGGCGGGTCCTTGTAGTCCAAGCTACTCAGGAGGCTGAGGGAAGAGAATTGCCCAAGCCCAAGAGCTGGAGGTTGCTGTGAGCTGTGACACCACAGCACTTTACCGAGGGAAACAAAGTGAGACTCTGTCTCTTAAAAAAACAAACCCGCTGATACCAGGCTGATGGAGCCCCAAGAGGTTCAGGGAACCCCAACCAACAGCCATGGAGTGGTGGGACATAAAGGCACACCAAACTCCTCTAAATATCTGCAAATGACCCCAGAGACATGCAGAAAGTATACTTAACACAACCAAATTGAGCAGGCATCCTCAAACTATGGCCCGTGGGCCACATGCAGCCAGCCTTGGACATTTATCTGGTCCTCCGTGTGTTTTTGCTGCCGCTGCCTGTCCTGCTGGCAGCCGACTTGTCCTGGGGACTGCAGTCCAGCCCTCCAACGGTCTGAGGGACAGTAAACTGGCCCCCTGTTTAAAAAGTTTGAAGACCCCTACAAATTGAGTTATTCCAAGAACATCCATCACTATAATTTACTATACTATCAAAATTCAGGAGAGAAATCATATATTGTTTCAATGCATATAAAAAAGGATCTGATAGGCTCGGTGTCTGTGGCTCAAGTGGCTAAGGCACCAGCCACATACACCTAAGGTGGTGGGTTTGAATCCAGCCCGGGCCTGCCAAACAACAA